AAAACAATTTTTGGTTCGTCGGGCGTCAAATCAATGGGCAAATACACACTTAAGATTGAGAAATTTGCGCGATTCCAAAAAGAGGGCCTGTAGATGCGGCGGAGATGGGAGCGAAAAAAATGGTGTGAGTATACATGATGGTTCCCAACCTCCATACGGAGGTCCTCATAATGTTTTTTGAGAATTTTTTTTGGTGCTTCGAACACCAAATACATAGGCTAATACACACGAAAAATAAAGGAATTTGCGTGATTCATAAAAAAAGGCATGTAGATGCGGAAATGGGAGCGAAAAACTGGTGTGAGTATACGTGATAGTTCCCCAACTCAATACAGAGGTCCTCATAAAGATTTTTGAGAAAAAAAATTTAAGTGCTCCCGGCGCTAAATCTATGGGCTAATACACACAAAAAATTGAGGAATTTGCGCGATTCCTAAACAAGGGCTTGTAGATACAAAAATGGGCACGAAAAAAATGCTCTGAGTATACGTGATGGTTCCCAACTCAATACGGACGTCCTCATAAAGTTATTTAAAAAATAATTGGGTGCTCCGGGGCCAGATCTATGGGCTAATACACACGAAAAATTAAGAAATTTGCGTGATTCCTAAGACAGGGCATGTAGATGCGGAAATGATCACAAAAAAATGTTGTAAGTATACATGATGGTTCCCCAACTCAATACAGAGATCCTAATAAAGTTTTTGAGAAAATAATTTAGGGTGTTGCGGGCGCCAGATCCATCGGCTAATACACACGAAAAATTGAGAAATTTATGCGATCCTAAAAAGGGTCTATAGATGCGGAAAACGGGACAAAAAAAATGGTGATTCTTGATAGTTACCAAACTCAATACGGAGGTCCTCGTAAAGTGTTTTGAGAAAAAAAAATTGGGTTCTCCGGGAGCCAGATAAATAGGCTAATACATATGAAAAATTGAGGAATTTGCGCGATTCTGAAAAAAGGGCTTGTAGATGCGGAAATCGGCGTGAAAAAAATGGTGTGAGTATGCGTGATGGTTCCCTTATTACATACGGAGGTTCTCGTAAATTTTTTTGAGAAATTTTTTTTGGGTGCTTTGGGTGTTAGATCTATGGTCTAATACACACGAAAAATTGAGAAATTTACTCGATTCCTAAAACAGGGTCTATAGATGCGGAAATGGGAGCGAAAAAAATGGTGTGGGTATACGTGATGGTTCCCCAACTCAATACGGACATCCTCATAAAGTTATTTGAGAAAATAAATTGGGTGCTCTAGGCCCCAGATCCATGAGCTAATACACACGAAAAATTAAGCAATGTGCGTGATTCCTAAAAAAGACCGATATGCAAAAATGAGCGCAAAAAATGGTGTGAATATACGTGATGGTTCTCCAACTCAATACAGAGGTTCTCATTAAGTTTTTTGAGAAATGTTTTTTGGGTGCTTCGGGCGCCAGAGCCATTGCTAATACACACGAAAAATTGAGGAATTTGCGCGATTACAAAAAACGGCATGTAGATGCTGAAATGGGTGAAACAAAATGGTGTGAGTATACTTGATGGTTACCCAACTTAATACAGAGGTCCTCATAATATTTTTTGAATATTTTTTGGATGCTCCGGGTGTTAGATCCATGGGGTAATAAACACGGTCAAATGAAAAATTTACGCGATTTCTAAAAAAAGGCATGTAGATGCGAAAATGGGCGCGAAAGAAATGGTGTGAGTATTCGTTATGGTTCCCCAACTCAATACAGAGGTCTTTATAAAGTTTTTTGAGAAAACATTTTTGGATGCTTCAGGCGCCAGATCCATGGACGCACGAAAAATTGAGAAATTTGCGCGATTCCTAAAAAGGACTTATAGATGCGGAAATAAGTGCGAAAGAAATGGTGTGAGTATACGCGATGGTTACCTAACTCAATATAGAGGTCCTCGTAAAGTTTTTTGAGATAAAAATTTAGGGTTCTCTAGGTGCCGGATCAATGGGCTATTACACACTAAAAATGAGGAATTTGCGCGATTCCAAAAAAAGGGCCTAGAGATGCAGAGTTGGCCGCAAAAAAAATGGTGTGAGTATACATGATGGTTCCCCAACTCCATATGGAGGTCCTCAAATGTTTTTTGAGAAATTTGCTTTGGGTACTTCGGGCGCCAGATCCATAGGCTAATACACACGAAAAATTGAGGAATTTGTGCGACTCATAAAAAAAGGCATGTAGATGCGGAAATGGGGCGAAAAACTGGTGTGAGTATACGTGATGGTTCCCCAACTCAATACGGAGGTCCTTATAAAATTTTTTGAGAAAAAAAATTTGGGTGCTCTCGGCGCCAAATCCATGGGCTAATACACACCAAAAATTGAAGAATTTGCGTGATTCCTATAAAAGGGCTTGTAGATGCGAAAATGGGCGCGGAAAAAGTGCTTTGAAATACGTGATGGTTCGCAACACAATACATACGTCCTCATAAAGTTATTTGAAAAAATAATTGGGTGCTCCGTGCCCAGATCTATGGGCTAATACAAGCGAAAAATTGAGGATTTTGCGCGATTTCTAAAATAGGGCATGTAGATGCGGAAATGGACGGGAAAAACTGGTGTGAGTATACGTGATGTTTCTCCAACTCAATACAGAGGTCCTTATAAAGTTTTTTGAGAATTATTTTATGGTGCTTCGGGCGCCAGATCCATCGGCTAATACACACGAAAAATTGAGGAATTTGCGCGATTTCTTAAAAAGAACCTTTAGATGCGGAAATGGACGGGAAAAACTGGTGTGAGTATACGTGATGGGCTAATACACACGAAAAATTGAGGAATTTGCGCGATTTCTTAAAAAGAACCTTTAGATGCGGAAATGGGAGCGAAAAAAAATGTGTGAGTGTACGTGATTGTTCCCAAACTCAATACAGAGTTCCTCATAATGTTTTTTAAGAAAAAAAATTTGGGTTCTCCGTGTGCCAGATCCATGGACTAATACACATAAAAAAATAAGGAATTTGCGCGATTCCTAAAATAAAGGCTTGTAAATGCGAAAATGGGCGCGAAAAAATAGTGTGAGTATACGTGATGGTTCCCAAACTCAATTTGGACGTCCTAATAAAGTTATTTGAGAAATAAAATTTGGTTCTCCGGGTTACAGATCTATGGGCTAATACACATGAAAAATTAAGACTAGCGAGATTCCTAAAATAGGGCATGTAGATGCGGAAATGGGCGCAAAAAAAAGATGTGTGTGTATACGTGATGGTTCCCCAACTCAGTACAGAGGTCCTAATAAAGTTTTTGAGAAACAATTTAGGGTGTTGCGGGCGCCAGATCCATGTGTTAATACATACGAAAAATTGAGAAATTTGCACGATCCTAAAAAGGGTCTGTAGATGCGGAAATGGGCGCGAAAAAAATGGTGTGAGTATAGTTGATGGTTACCCAACTCAATACAGAGGTCCTCATAATGTTTTTTGAGAAAACAATTTTGGGTTCTCCGGGCGCCAGATGAATAGGCTAACACATGAAAAATTGAGGAATTTGCGCGATTATGAAAAAAGGGCATGTATGTTCAAAAATCGGCATAAAAAATGGTGTTAGTATGTGTCATGATTCCCTAATTACATACGATTTAATTTGGGTGCTCTGGGTGCCAGATCCATGGGCTAATACACACGAAAAGTTGAGGAATTTGCTCGAATCCTAAAAAAGGTCCTGTAGATGCAGAAATAGGCACGAAAAAAATGGTGTGAGCATATGTGATGGTTCCCCAACTCAATACGGATGTCCTCATAATTTTTTTGGGGAAAATTTGTTTGGGTGCTCCGGGCGCTAGATCCATTGGTTAATACGTGCACGATTCCTAATAAGGACCCGTAGATGCAGAAATAAGCGCGAAAGAAATGGTGTGAGTATATGTGATGGTTACCTAACTTAATATGGAGGTTCTCGTAAAAAATTTTGAGAATAAAATTTTGGGTTCTCCAGGTACCGGATCAATGGACTAATGCACTAAAAATTGAGAAATTTGCTTGATTCCAAAAAAAGGGCATGTATATGCTGATGGGCGCGAAAAAAATTGTGTGAATATACATGATGGTTCCCCAACTCCATACGGAGATCCTCATAAAGTTTTTTCAGAAAAAAATTTGGTTGCTATGGGCGCTAGATCAATGGGCTAATACACATGAAAAAAATGAGGAATTTGCATGGTTCCTAAAAGAGGGATTGTAGATGCAAAAATGGGCGCAAAAAAATGGTGTGAGTATATGTGATGGTTCCCCAACTCAATACAGAGCTCCTCATAAAGTTTTTTGAGAAATTTTTTTGGGTGCTCCGGGCGCCAGGTCCATGGGATACATACTAAAAATTGAGGAATTTGCGTGATTCCTATAAATGGGCATATAGATGCAAAACTGGGCGTGAAAAAATGGTGTGAGTATACGTGATGGTTACCCAACTCAATACGGAGGTCCTCATAAAGTTTTTGGAGAAAAATGTTTTGAGTCTTCTAGGCACCAGCTCCATGGGCTAATACATACGAAAAATTGAGGAATTTGTGCAATTCCTAAAAAAGGGCCTGTAGATGTGAAAATGGGCGCAAAAAAAATGGTGTGAGTATACGTGATGGATCCCTAACACAATACGGAGGTCCTCATAACGTTTTTTTAGAAAAAACGTCTGGGTGTTCCGAGCGCCAAATCCATGGGCTAGAAAAATTTCACCCGAATAAAAAAAGGAAAGAAGAGGAATCTGTAGAAATCTCACATAAAGTATGGAGATATCAAGGATTTGTTGAATTACATACTCCTTATATAGGAGAAGTGTCCTATACTAGCTACACTAGGATACCTACTACAACACAAATATATTATTTATACATTATCCTAGTCGACTACATCAACTTTAGTCGTACATAAATTAGGTAGGATTGTACATGAATTAGGATTGAATAATCTAGTCTTAGTGTAACTCTAACTCTAACTCGTCAGCCAGCTTCGTTGAACCTGTTCCTTTGATATGTTCCATCAGCTTCCTTCAACACTTCCCCTCAAGCTAGTGAGTGGAGGGACTGTAACTCCTAGCTTGCTATGAAACTCAGCAAAAACCTGCTTGGTTAATGCTTTTGTATGAATATCAGATAGCTGTTCCTTAGACCTTACAAACTGAGTAAGGAGTTGTCCTCTGGCCACCTTCTTATGAACAAAATGGCAGTCCATTTCAACATGTTTGGCTCTAGCATGCATAACTGGATTAACTGTCATGTACAAGGAACTCATGTTATCAAAATACAATGTAGGTACCGATCAAAAAAACATCGCAAGGTCATGAAGTAGATATATGATTTATGTCATCTCTGCTGCAGTGGAGGCGAGTGCTCTATACTCAGTTTCAGCACTCGATCGGGCTACTGTGGTTTGTTTCTTTAATGTCCAAGAAATATAATTTGCACCTAGGTAGATTCTATAGCATGTTGTTGATCTCCTAGTGGTGGTATAACCTCCTCAATGATCATCTGAGTATCGATACAACTATATGGTGATTGTGAAATAATTCTGAGTCCAAAGTGTAGAGTACCTTTGATGTATCTGAGAATCCTTTTCACCCCTTGAAAATGTTCAATTTTTGGATTTTGCATAAATTGGCTTGCTAAATTCACATCATGAGTGATATACGGTTTTGTGAGTATCAAGTATTGAAGACTCCCTACTATCATTCTGTAAAAGGATGCATCGACCAGGCTTCCCACAGCTTCATGTAAACCATGCTTTTGAGCCAAAGGAGTGGCTACAGCCTTTGCCAAAGTCATCTATGTCTTGTCCAGCAACTTAAGACTCTCTACTATCATTCTGTAAAAGGATGCATCGACCAGGCTGCCCACATCTTCATATAAACGATGCTTTTGAGCCAAAGGAGTGGCTACAACATTTGCCAAAGTCATCTATGTCTTGTCCAGCAGCTCAGCAACATACTTACTCTGACTTAAGTGGATACCCCCATCAAAATACTTAACCTCTACTCCTAGAAAGAAGTGTAAAGGACCAAGATCTTTCATGGCAAATTCTTTCCCAAGTTGTTGAACCAACTTTGAGACATGTGATGGATTACTTCTTGTGACAATAATATCATCCACCTATAACAAGAGAAATATGGTGCCTTTGTGAGCTTGCAATGTAAATAATGAGGGATCTGCCTTACTATAGATGAAACCAAGGTGTAGGAGATGCATGCTAAACCTATCAAACCAGGCCCTTGGTGCTTGTTTAAGACCGTACAATGCCTTTTTAAGTAGGCACACATGCTGAGGATACTTGGGATCAATAAATCCAGGAGGTTGACTCATGTACACCTCCTATTGTAGGAAACCATGGAGAAAAGCATTTTTGACATCTAGTTGTCTAACTTCCCACTCTGAGATGACAACAATGGATAGAACCACTCTAATAGTTGTGGCTTTAACCAAAGGCTAAGGGTGTATACATTTTCCGGGAAAATGTTTTCCAATTTTATCATGTTTGGTTGGGTAAAAATGTTTTGGAAAATGTTTTCCAAATCAACTCATTTTCCTCAAATTTAAGGAAAATGACTTCCCTTTAAAACTTAAGGAAAACATTTTCCAAACCTCTCTTCCAACTTCAAATTACAATTACTTTTTTGTTGAAAAAATCAATTTATTTTGTCCCTACCATCAAACCAGCCCCCCAACCACCCCTCCCCCAAATAATAATAATAATAATTTTAAAACTTGTTTTTAAATTCAATTTTTTTACCCCACCCCCTCCCAAAAAAATATTAAAAATTGTTTTTAAAAGATATTTCTAATTTCAATTTTTTATTTTTTTACCCCCACCCACTACCCTCACCCCTCATCTACCCCCCTATCAGCCCCCCAACTCCCTTCAAAAAAAAAATATTCAAGTTTGTTTTTAAAAAATATTTTCAACTTCAAA